TTTTATTTTATTTCCTATAATATTGAAACTTGATGTTATATTTTATTTTTGAACATGAGAACAATGTCATTATTGTTATGATGAATGTATTTATTTGAAACTTTACAAGTGAAAAATCTAATATTATTTTTTTATTTGAAACTTTTTATATAGTAATAACAATATATTTAAGTTAATTATATTTTATAAATTATATTTTATCAAATATTTCATATTTACGTATTTAAAAAATAATTATAAAATATTTTATAAAATATAAATATCAATATATTAATAAATTTTAAGAATATTATATAATAATAGTCATAAAATAACAAATATAAAAAAAATTCTATTATGCTATGTTTAGTTTTTTATACTAAACCAAACATTAAACATGATAAGGATATATATGTAATTAAATATGATGTTTTGTTCTGTTCAACAAGCACCAAACATAAAATATAAATATATTATTATTCTGTTTCGTTCAGCTGTTACCAAACACAATATAAATACATTATTATTCTATTTCATTCGTTGTGTTCCACTACCAAACCTACTTATATAAATAATACAAGTACATATAAAGGCTAAATGTAAAGTAGAAAAGCAAAACATGTTATTATCATATCAAAAATATTATCATTTCATCCCTGGACCAAAATTTATTATTAATTATAATTATTTAATAACAATAAATTAATTACTTCTATTTTATCACCTAATAAAAATATTAATGACTAATAAATGATAGCTATTAAAAATATATTTACATCATACAAGAATTTATTATTAGTAACAATTATTTAATGGTAATAAACTAATTATCACTAAAAATATATTTATAAGAGTAATTATTGAAAATGATTGACAAAAAGTAAAAGTAACTTTTAATTCATTTTATTAAAAAAAAAATTAGTATACACATACTTGTCCCATACTCACTTTAAATTTCTAAAAATTAATTAATTTTTTAAAAATTTACTTGACATTTATGTAAATCTTACTCTATTTTAAATTTATATCAAATGAAACTTGATTAATGTAATTTATAATTGTTATTTATATTAAAATTCTTGTTTTTTTAATATTTATTTTTTAAAAAAATATAATTATTTTTTGAAAAGGTATAAAGCGAGTACGGATATACCACATACTTGACAGGGACAGGAATGGAGACAAATCCCATACTCGTCAAGTATGGGATGACTATATGTATAAGATACGGGAATAAGGATGAGGATAGCAAAACCCATACTTGCCCGCCTCTTGTCATCCCTAGCTAGACTTAAGGGAGTGTATTGAAAAAAGTTCAAGTATCAATTTAACTAAAAATAAGACAATAAAAGAATATATAAGTAAAAGATAATCTTTACCCTACAATTCCTACGTTGACTAGAGATAAAATAATTAAATAGTACGTAAGTTAGAAATTTTTTTAAGCTTTTAATGGTAATAGTAAAAAAATATTAAATGTCACAAAATGTGAGACCCTACCCTTAGCTGACCATACTCCCCTCCCAACTGAATATGATGTGATGACTAGTAGATAATGTTGTTGCTGATGTTGAGTTGTATCAGTTGTATATTGTTGTAAGTTGATGTGTTGTGTTGTATGTTGATTTTTGATGTTGTAGGCCGCAAGGCTGAGTTGTTGTAGGCCGCAAGGCTGAGTTGTTGTAGGAGATCTCCGAGTTGATATGCGTGACGACGTCGCGCCCGGCGTGCCCAAACCCGCGCCCAGCGTGGGGAAGGCAGAGACCTCCCTTGGTCTCGTGCCCAGCGCAATTTGAATTGTGTCCGGCGCCTCCCATGGCAGAGACTCCAAGGAGTCCCCGCGCCCAGCGCGGCCAAAATCGCGCTCAGCGCCATGCCAGAAGCCCAAAAACGAGTCACAACTAACATCGCACCCAGCGCGGTTCAACCCTCGCCCGGCGTGGGCCATCCAGAGGCTAACATTTTCAAGCACGCCCTGCGCACACATCTTTGCGCCCGGCGGTGGATGTGGCGCTTCAGAAGATTTCGTGTAGAGGGAGGGCCTTTGGCTTCTTCTCTCATGAAGGTTTTCTCAACCCGTATCTTTCCTGAGATGTAGGAATGGGGAGACGCGATGATAGAGCTTTCTATGAAATCTGAAGAGGAACATTCAAGCTGTCTCTCGATTTTCAGCTCGAACAGACATTTTTTTTTTTGCCTAAAACGCCCTTTGTGGGTTTTCATTCTAGTAGCTTCTTGACAAGCGATGATTCTCTCTTGTTGAAATCACCTTTTGAGAAAGCTCTAATCGTTATGCCTTAGTGTTTGAGAGATTCGTCATCCTTAGGTTCTCTTTATTAGCTTCCAACTCGTTAAGAGTGTGGATCCATCCATTTCCTTTGGATTTCACGGTTGCACGACACAACTTTATCCTCTTAGGGTAAGAGTTGACGTCTTAATGATTGTGGAGTTCTTTACCCTCAACTCTTTATGCATGGCTTGTTTCCATTACTTCCGATTAACGCACATAGGTTAATTTCCCTTTTTATTCTTATTTATTCTTTTACAAGGAGGGATATGTTCTAAATGAATGTAATGCAGAATGTAGAGAAAGTTGAGAATAATAAATATCAGTCTCATTGATTTGTTTATTTGTGAATGCTCGAATAGATTTCAACAGTATTAAGTGAGAATCTATATTAGATTCTAAGAAGACTTACTTCAACAAACATA